TAATAAAAACTCGTATGGACATATGAATAATTGGATGATTTCCCGCATTCTGCAATTAATCAACAGATGTTTCCAATCTTCCCTCGCAAGAAAAGAGAATTGTTGGAAGAAAAACTTGTTAGCACCACCAAGAATGGCGATAATCTACTTATCTCTCTATAGTTTGCTTTAGGGATCCTCCTTGGAATGCCCAGTTTGTAATAAATTCATTAAAGCTCTTTAAAAGAATTGCCCTGATCCTTTACTGGCTTGTTATTCAGAGATGGCTTAAGCAGCGATATAAAAGCAGGCCTGTCATTAGTGACATAATTAATGTTATAAGTCCTCCCTAGTTGCACAAAAAAATAAAAATAACACCAGCCAGGCATCTACAAGTTTACTGAACTGATTTGAAAAATGTGAATATTCTCAGTGCTCGTATTTATCATCACAATAGACTGGAGCTTTTATTGTTCTAAGAAAAGATCCCCGCACCTGTCCTCTTAGCACCAGGATAAAGAGAGGAAATTGAGAAAAGGAAATAAATGGAATCTTTATTTCCCAACAGAAGGCGTCATCAATCCTCCAGCCTTCAGCCCCCTTGAATTTCCTCCTTTTTTTCTTCTACAGCAGGGGTGTCCACCCTTGGCAATTTTAATACCTGAGGACTTCAACTCCCAGAATTCCCCACCTGGCCAAATGCATTCAGAGGAATAGGTCTATGGAGATTCTCAAATCATCCAGGTCATGGTTGCCCCAAATGTCCTTTTTTTTCCCCAAGAGATAAGTGGACTTTGTGTTTTTGCTCTGAAGAGGTTTTACTTCTCATCCCAGAAGCTTCCTCAGCTTCTCTCAAAAGCTTCTTCTGCTCTCAGAGTTGAAGAAGCTTCTTGGATGAGAAGCAAAATGTCCTCAGAGAAAAAATCCAGAAAATCCAGTTGCCTCTTGAAAAAAAAAAAAAAGCACTTTTGGGGTTCAGAGAGATGGTTAAAAAAAATCATTAATCCCTGATGTTTCATTCTCTCAATGCAGGCAGTCCCTGACTTACAATCGTAACGGAGCCTGCCCATTATGGTCAGTAAGTTAAGTCAATACTAGGTTGTTCGTGATGGGATATTTTTGCTGACAACCAGGAATAAACACTTGTTTTTGGTGAAAACATCATCAAATGTACAAAATGTCTGTGGTCCCGTGATCACAGATGCTGCAAAAATGGCCGTAAATGTAAATGGTTGTGGAGTCTCCATAATGCAGTCACATGACTATGGAGGGCATATTGGAACATTGGAACTGGGTTCTAGGTCCCTTTTTTCCATCGTACCTTCTGTAGTCAAGTGATTGGACTTAAGTCAAGGAAGAGACTGGACAGCCACTTGTCTCACATTGTATTGGGTTTCCTGCTTAAGCAGTGGGTTGGACTAGAAGACCTCCAAGGTCCCTTCCAGCTCACTCGTTTATATCTTTAACAGATTAACAGAGTTGGAAGGAACCTTGTAGGTCATCTAGTCCAACCCCCCTTGCCCAAGCAGAAGACCCTACCCTATTTCTGACCCATGGCAGTCCAGTCTCTTCTTGAAAGCTTCCAGCAATGAAGCTCCCACAATTTCTGAAAGCAACTTCTGTTCCATGGGTTGATTGTCCTCACTGTCAGAAAATTCCTCCTTATTTCCAAGATGAATCTCTCCTTGTTCAGTTTCCATCTATTATTCCTTGTCTGGCCTTCAGGTGCCTTGGAAAATAGCTTGACCCCGCTTCCTCCTCTCTGTGGCAGCCCCTCCAATATTGGAAGACTGCTCTCCTGTCTCCCCTGGTCCTTCTCTTCACTCGCTCAATTCTGATGAATGGGCAATGCAGGCATTTATTTGCCCTACACCCAACACCCAAGCTGTTCTCACAGTCTTTTCCCCAGCAGTTGGCTCTCTGCTCAAATCCTTTGCTTGCCAGCAAGATTCCAGGAGTGAATTCGCCTCCAGAGATCCTTTGCTTTTATTATCGAGGGTGTAACCAGATCCCTACAGAAAGGAGGATCACCGCACAAGGCAGAAACAGCTCAGCAGCTGCTCGTTCCTACATCAGTTGGGGCTTTTGCAACTACAGCTGGCAGGTCAGTGAGTGCCCACACTGTTACGGGGCCCCAAAAGTCAGGTTTTAATCTCAGGATACACAATAATCCCTGTAGGTTGGCACCCTATGCCCTTCATGGAAAGCCAGGTTGAATATTTTCCTAGGATCTCACCCCCAACGGCAACTGGATTCACATAGCACTAAACTGCCACGTGGTTGCTTCGATTTAGCTCTCTTTTAGTTTAGTTTAGTTTACTTTATTATCCTTGCACCTCGTACAACGCAATCCAACACCATCTTCAGTGCACATCACAACCATGAAATAAGCACAAACACACACCATTCACCCTCCACACATTGAACCGAACCCGCCTCACACCACACCAGCACTGCACTATATAGAATTCAAAAGAGCTACTGCCCTTTTTATATATATGAAGTTTTTTTTTAAATTTTTCCATACATAATGAATATGTGAACAATATGACACCTGGGTGTTTTACATTTTAAAGCAATTAGAATAGTATTTAATATATATTAACTTTAATAAACTTATATACTTCTCATATTCCTACCTAAATTTATTATTTCCAAAATTCTCATTATTTAGTTTCCAATATTTCAGGATCTTATTTGCATATCAATCCGTATATTCAATTATCTTCCTTTTACATCCAATAACATGTTATGAAACCTTAGCTATTTCTTTTTCACATATACTTAATCACCCTCATTCAAATTCTAGTTTCCTTTCTTTATCTTACATCAACTTATTGTTTAAAAAATGTATTCCATTATTTTCCCCTTCCCAATTCCATCTCAGTTCTGACTTTCAGTTATGCCACTACAATTTCCAAAAATATTCCCTAACAGTTTTTTTTTAAATATAACATTTCATTTAGCAAATATATCCTTCCTTTTACCACAAATAAAACATTGATAATCATATTTAATGCATTTAACAAGTCCTTGATTTAGCCCTCTATATGGACCCAGCCTTCAGTAAACCCTAGTTAAACAGACCATAACTTGGTGATGACATGAATCAGGAAACTCTCTTAAATCAACATTCCCAGTTCTGAGGTCCAACTTCTATTTATATTTCCATTTATGTAGCTAGCTGCAATTCTGGGTGGAGAGCATCAACTCCAAAGCCAACAGAAACATCCTTCCACAAAAGATGACCAGATAATGATGATGCCTTTAAATTAATCTTTTAATTCAGAGGGTTGAAACCACCTTTCTTTCTTCAGCCTGGCTGCACCTGGGAAATGAGTCTCACGCAAAAGCAGTGAACAAATGGATCCCAGGACTGAGTTCTCCCTTGAGGGAAAAAATGGATCAGGTTCAAATTATCTTATTTTGGACCCCTTATATAGGGAGATCCAACTCTATGGAGGAGGCTATAATGCCCGGGAAAGAGGAAAGAAGGAAGGAAAGAAGAAAAGGAAGTTGTACTGGTGATGATTGTGTTACTCAAAGATTTGAAGGATCATCTGAGGACAGATAACCCATCTATGTGGCTGCTAACACTGACCATGGTGTAGTATCCATCCATCCATCCATCCATCCATCCATCCATCCATCCATCCTTTTGTCCATTCACCTACCCATCCATGCATCCCTTCTGTCTATTCACTCATTCACTCATCCTTCCATCCTATCCCATCCATCTTATCCCATCTATCCATCCATCCATCCACTCATCCACCCATCCTTCTGTCCATACACTCGCCCTACCCACCCATCCTATCCCATCCATCAATCCATCCATCCATCCATTCACTCATCCATCCATCTACCCACTCATCCATCCATTCATCCTTCTGTCCATTCACTCACCCATCCACTCACCCATCTTATCCCATCCATCCATCTTATCCCATCCATCCATCTTATCCCATCCATCCATCCATTCACTCATCCATCCATCCATCCATCCATCCATTCACTCATCCACTCACCCATCCTTCCATCCTATCCCATTCAATCATCCATCCATCCATCCATCCATCCTATCCCATCCCATCCATCCATCCATCTTATCTCATCTGTCCATCCTATTTCATCCATCCAACCATCTCAAGCCCATCAAGCTAAGCTACTATGTAGTTTTGGGATCGACGGAGTCCTTTGTAACCAGGAGGATTTGCTTGCTGACTTCAGATTTTTGTCTTGAGCACCGTTAACAGGTGATATTGGCCAGGTGCCTTTCCCCTCTCCCCCAGAGCAAACCTTTTAGCTATAAAAAGAAGTCGTCTCTGATTTGGACAAAGCTGGGAAAAGAAAGTTTGCTCAAAACCTTTTTTTTTAAAAAAAAAATGCTAACTGCTTTCCCCAAAGGAAGATGAGACAGTAACTTAAGTCTTCCTTCTAGGTAAATACAACCTACGCAAGTTTACCGAGGAAGCCCAGTCAAACAGAGAAAGAATTATGTTTTTCTCCACACTCAAAAGGGTTTTCACAGAGACACAGACAGGGAGCCCAAACAACTTATAAGACCGACCTCAAAATTAAAATCCAAAAACGGCCACAGAGAAATTCAAACGAGGCTTTAAAGCGAACAACCCAGCCGGGATTTGCTCTTTGTAAACTCTTCAATCTATTGCAATGACGACCCCAAGAAGATTGAAATCCCCGCCCTTCCAGCCAATGTCGCCCCCACCCCCCTTAACCACTCTTAACCACTGCGCCGCCAAGGCTCAATCCAAGGTAGAGGCAGATATTTCTCTCTCTGGGCACAATGAGAATATATCTGCTGAACAAAACCCCACTCTGGTGACAGGAAGGGCATCCTGCCCATAAACACTCTGCTAGCTCCATTCAGTTGCCCAGACTCACCCCGCAAGGGATTCTGGGGTCGTTAAATGATGGTGATGGAAGAGATCAGAGAAGACAGTGACAGGTAAGGACCATGGTATGTGGACAAAGGACAAAAGCCACCTCTGTGGGCTTACCTGCCGCACCTGTGATGACAACGGGGATGGCTGGACGTGCCGCTGTTGAATCCGAGATGGCTGCATCAACTGGCGGAGCTGCTGCTGCAGGAACTGGTTGTTGTTAACTTGCTGGGTTTGCGGCGAGGTTGCAGCTTGTTGCTGAAGGTAGTGCATGAGTGACTGCTGCCCTGTGGTGGAAGCCATCGGCGACATCTTCTGGGGAGGGGCGGTCTCTGAACTGAAATGGGAAAGGGGCTTGGTGTTGCTGAAAGAGAACTGGTCTTGGGCAACAGGACCTTCGCTCCCCAACCCTGGTTGGATACTGTTGGAAGACTGCGTCATGATGACGTTCATGTTCTTGGACTGGATGGACGACATGGGTTTGTAGAGGGAACTTGGCATGTTGGTTGGGTTGCTGGTCGGCGTTGGGTTGGCGATCAAGGTGCTTTGAGGGCTGAAAGGTTGTTGGTGCAAAGCCGGGCTAGAAAGCTTCTCCGGCCTGTACGGCGAAGGTCCAGCATTGGGAGAACTTTTAATGCTGTTGGCTGAAATGTTGGGCATGATGGAATTGGGCGGGCTGAAGGATTGCTGATTGAGGACCGGACTGGAGAGCTTCTCTGGCCCAAAAGGTGGAGACAGACCTCCGGGCGGGTTACTGTTGGACGTGATGCTGGAGAGCAGGGGGTTTTGTGGGCTCTGAATGTTGCTTCCCGGAAGGCCGTTGGGAGCCATGCCAGAGATCATGACATTTTGAGGACTGAAGGGCTGGTGGTGGGGAGAAGACCCTTGGCGGTAAGGAGGCGAAAGGCCTTGAGATGAGATGGTGGGCCAGTTTGGTGGTTTGGAAGTTGGCGTTTGCTTGCTGGCTAAGTGCTTCAACTGTTGGGCGTGCCAATTTGTCCCGGGCATATGGATGGCCTGGCTTTGGCCCTTGTTGGGCGCGGTTGAAGAAATGGGCGAAGCGACAGCCTTGTTCTGAGACGGAACCGAGTAGCTGGCTCCAGAAGAAGGCGTCATCTGCGGGGACTCACCGCTTGGGTTGCATCCAGGAGAAAAATCTTTGTTGGGCAGGTGGTTGTCCAAGGGGGTGCCCTGCGGAGAAGATTTGGAAGAGCTGTTCATGGCGGTGGGTGGGTGGGCCAGGTTCCCCATGGGCTCGTCAGGTTTGCTCCCTAAGATCTTCTCAAGGTCCAATTCGTTGGGAGAAGGGTCCGGCATCTTGGTCAACTCTTCCAACAAATCTTGAAGTTCCTGGTCCACCGCGTGAATGTTGCTCCCTTTTTCGCCGTAATGGCCCCCGAGGGGCCCTTTCGGTCCAACGTCCGTGTTCGGTGGGACGGAAAATGGAGATCCAATCCTGCTCCCATTCATGTGGTTATTTTCAAGGAGCATCCCATGTCCGGGCATAGAGGAAGTCCCGTGACTGGTGGAAAAGGGAGAACTTTGCATATCGGGGCACGAAACAGAATTGGTCCCAGGACCCATGGAAAGCGTGACGTCATCAAGGCAAAGCCGCTTACTCTCGCTTGGGAAGAGGACGTCGGGCATGGCGCCGGAGGCTGGAGATGCGTCATCGGCCACTTTCCTCTTAACGGATCCCTGTAATCACAAGACAAAAAGGGGTTTCGTTAAGCAGGTAGGAAACTCTGAACTTCATACCACAAATCTTTGTTTAATGATGAGAGCTTGGTTTGGTCTTAGTAGTTAAGGTGCCAGGTTAGTAACCAGGAGATCGTGAATTCTAGTCCTGGGACATGAAAGCCAGCTGGGTGACTTTGGCCCAGTCCCTTCCTCTCACAACCGTCCTCACAGGGCTGTTGTGGAGAAAAATAGGAGGAGGGAGGAATACTGTGTGTGTTTGCTGCCTTAACTGATTTATACAAATAATAAAGGTAGAATGTAAACAAACCAACTTCCAAAGGCAAATCAAGCGGAAACAGCAACCTTTGGTGACAGATGGTTAGATCTACACCAAAGGTAAGAAGTTTTGGTTAAACTTTGGTGAACCGGGTTCCAACCTCTTCTCAAATGCTTCCAAAGCAGATCTTCTCAACTACAGCTAACCTTGATTTCAACCCCAATGCCCCCCAAACCAAAGCTTGCCTTCTTCACCCACTGGCCAAGCCACAATGTGGCTGTGTGTGCTTTACATGTCAGTGTGTCACGGTTTCCCAATCCCCAAACATGGTTTGGCACCCTGTGGAAACCAAGTTTCCAAATTGGTGAGAGTGTTTTCCTCACATCTACCGCAGGTTCGATATTTCTTCCGTTCCAAACTACTACAATCCTTGTGGTCAGAGAGACCTTCACCTGCTCTATAAAGCCTTAGCAAGACCACACTAGAGTACTGCATCCAGTTTTGGTCACCACACTATAAAAAGACGTTGAGACTCTAGAAAAATGCAAAGATAATGAGGGGACTAGAGACTAAAACATACAACGAACGGTTGCAGGAACTGGGCCTGGCCAGTCTAGGGAAGAGAAGGACCAGGGGAGACATGATAGCAGTCTTCTAATATTTGAGGGGCTGCCAGAGAGAGGAGGGGGTCAAGCTATTTTCCAAAGGCCCTGAAGGCCAGACAAGAAATAATGGATGGAAACTGAACAAGGAGAGATTCAACCAGGAAATAAGGAGAAACTTTCTGACAGTGAGAACAATCAACCCTTGGAACAGAAGTTGCCTTCAGAAGTTGTGGGAGCATCATCACTGGAGGCTTTCAAGAAGAGATTGGACTTCCATTGGTCAGAAATGGTGTAGGGTCTCCCACTTGGGAGGGGCGGGGTTGGACTAGATGACCGACAAGGTCCCTTCCAACTCTGATTATCTGTATCTATTGATCGCGATTTGTAGGAAAAATCGGGATCCTTTCCTGTTTGGTGAACATCTTTTTAGGAAAAGAACTTTACCACCAGGGAGGAACGCTGTCAGCTCTTAAGAGGACATACCACCCTCTCTCTCTTTTTTTTTTCTCTGCAGAAATTAATTTTTTTCCTCCAAACAATTGAATGCTTGTACAGAAACGTGGCCCAAAGCTGGCAGAGCATAACTAACAAAGGGTATGGAGTTCGTAGGGAGACAGATCAACAATCCGGCATTCCTTACAGGCAGAGGCTTTTGAAATAATCTACATGCTTTCTAATCCAAGCACAACAACGCAGCCCTAAGTGATCTAAACAGACTCTATCCAACTACAGATCCTTTCTGTAGAAGGGCCTCCAACCCAAAACAGTTTCGAAAAGGAGAGAAACTTAAGAGGCACGACAGCACGAAATGTGTGTGAAGACATCTTCACACACACAAATTCTAGTTTAGCATTTAAACCCTCTGAGACACAGTTGTTTGGGGATCTCGGAATTGGAAGGCAACCAAATGTTACATTTTTCGCTGCGTCCAAAGATGACTTTAAAATAAATAAATAGAAGAATGGGTCTCCAAGGGTTGGCCTGAGATAGCCTGCCTGTTTTATTCCCCCCACCCCCAAAATTAATTATTGTGGGTTCCTCCCTTTCAAAAACTATGAGCTGGAAAGCCAACGGGATTAGATCAGATTTGAGCATGAAGCACTGTAGCTTGATTTAGCTGTTGGAAATAATCTAAAGTAATTTCCCCCCCTTATATGGAGTTATGTGATAGTTTGAGATTGCAGCCTGTGTTCTTGACAGCATGGGAGGAGGAGGAGGAAGAATCAGAAGAAGAAGAACCAGAAGAAGAATCAGAAGAGAGAAGGGAGAAGAAGAAGAAGAAGAAGAAGAAGAAGAAGAAGAAGAAGAAGAAGAAGAAGAAGAAGAAGAAGAAGAAGAAGAAGAAGAAGAATCAGAAGAAGAAGAAGAAGAAGAAGAAGAAGAAGAAGAAGAAGAAGAA